TCTCACACCTCCATTGGGAACCCCGTGATCAGTTAAATGGTTAGCTCTGCCTCTATATATGTCAGGTTCTGGCAGAACCTCTAAGGAGACAGCTATATCAGGCTCATGTTAGCATGCACTTCCTGGCATCCAAAATAGTGTCTGGATTTGGTGACTGTATGTGAGATGGATCCCCAGGTGGCAAAGGACATTGTCAATAGGGGAAAATGACAACCAAAGATCTTTACCAATCTTACATTTGATAAAGGGCTAATATCCAATATATACAAAGAATTCAAGAAATTAGACTCCAGACAATCAAATAACCCTATTAAGAAAGAGGGTACAAAGCTAAACAAAGAATTCTCAACTGAGGAATATCAAATGGCCAAGAAGCACCTAAAGAAATGTTCAACATCCTTAGACATCAGGGAAATGAAATTAAAAAAAAAATTCTGAGATTCCACCTCACACCAGTCAGAATTGCTAAAATCAAAATCTAAGGTGATAGCAGATGCTGGTGAAGATGTGGAGAAAGAGGAACACTCTTCCATTGTTGTTGGGGTTGTAAGCTGGTAAAACCACTCTGGAAACCAGTCTGGTGGTTCCTCAGAAAATTGTACATAGCATTACCTGAAGACTCAGCTATACCACTCCTGGGCATATACCCAGAAGATGCTCCAACATATAACAAGGACACATGCTCTACTATGTTCATCGCAGCCTTATTTATAATAGCCAGAAGTTAGAAAGAACTCAGATGTCATTCAACAGAGGGATGAATGCAGAAAATGTGGTATATTTACTCAATGGAATATTACTCAGCTATTAAAAACAATGAATTCATGAAATTCTTAGGCAAATGGATGGAACTAGAAAATATCATCCTGAGTGAGGTAAACCAATCACAAAAGAACACACATAGTATGCACTCACTGATAATTGGATATTAGCTCAAAAGCTCGCAATACTCAAGATACAACTCACAGACCACATGAAGCTCATAAAGAAGGAGAACCAAAGCACATTGAAAATCTTTTAAAGACGTGCATTTAACACACTTCAACATTGTCTGCACAAGAAATAGTTATTTATCCATTAGCTTGTATCCACTATCAATTTAGTTAGAGTAATGTTTCCTTGCCTGTGCATTAGAATGGCTAAGCAAAAATGGAGCTGAGGAAAAGCAGCATGCTTCTATCTGACTATATAGGTTCTGCTGGAACAGAATGTGACAAACAGGAGATACCTGATACAGCTTACCACTTGTGTTTAGGCTCCTGCCTTGAGGGGACTGAACTGTCACTTCCAGGAAGCTGGAACCCTGAGTTGCTTTGTTCTTCTTGAACTGTGTATGTGTTTATAGTTATTGTTATAGTTATTGTTGCTCATGAGAGCATGAAATAACAAAGTAAGTTTCTAGGCATTCAGATTTTATTAGTAGTATTTAGATGAATAAATCCAATATATGGATTTATATAAAATTCAGGAGAATGGCATAGATAATACGGGCTGGGTAATCCAATAGTGGTATTCTGCATGAAGGAGAGACAAAATTCTTGAAAGCTTCTCAATCCAGAAAGCTACATGCCTCAGTAGTCCCTATCTAATGCCAAATGACCGAAAACTCCCTTGAAAGTTGTCAGTACTGTGTCCACATTGAAGGGCAGAAAGAGCTAGAGTTCATCGTCAGTGGATAACAGCAGCACTCATACATGTTCCCCAAAATGAGAGGCACTTTTCTGTGTAACTTCCTTTCTCCTGGCTTTGCAGCCTGTAGAAAGGTGCTTGTTTACATGTAGGACAGGCTGTCTCCCAACCTACACTGTCTCACATATCCTCAACTCATACTGTCACATACTTCAACCTTCTTGTAAACACACCCACAGACATACAAAGATGAGGTCTGCTGCCCCTAAAAATCTTTTAATCCTGTCAAATTGACAACCAAGGTTAACTATCACACAAATTTATTTATTTTTGATCATATTATATGTCAACTACTCTTTGGTGATATTAGCATTAAAAAAATGAAAAAAATAATCATTTTTGCCACTAAGGTAACTTCTATTTTTCTTTTATTACCTACTTGACTCCCAAGTATAGCTTTAATTATTGTATTGCTCATGGGGTCAAGTATTACTACATGACACAGCTAAAATATGCTTAATCAGATCATATGCCAAATCTCTCAGTGTCGTCATCATAAAATATACCCGGTGTGAGTCAGTGTATGTGAGGTTCTCTAAAACTGAATTAAACTTCACTTGTTACTGTTGTTAAGTACCAACAAAGTAGAAGGAAACTTCATTCAGAAGCAGTGTCAACCTGTTTGAGTTATTGCCTCTTCTGGGGCTGTGATATTCCAACTGTACAGTATTTCTAGTGTCAAAATAAGACCTGACAGACCTCATGATTTTCTTGAATTATTTTGTTACATAGCAATAATAAAAAAGAATCTTGTCCTCATCAATGACACAGCAGCTCTAACTCTGAGCTGATCGATGGGGCTCTCTATTTCTATCATTGCTGAATAAATATATTGTAAAGAGAGTTGACAGTTGTAGAAATAGAATAAAATTCTATAAAGCTGTCTGATGTTTATTTGTTTATATTTGCTGTGCTAAATAAATGTGTTATTTTTGTCATAATCACAACTGAGACATTAAACTGGGGAAGTGATAATTATTTCATTAACTGCAGCTGCTGAAGTTGAGTCATCTACTCTCTCTCCACGCAAATATATATATATGCATTTGCAAATATATATAATTTTTACTTGCAAAGAACTAACATAATTTATTCAATATTTAGTCAACAAAACTGCAGTAAGTGTTCACTGTGTGGCAAAAGATGATATCTCCTCCATCGGGTCAAGGCTGAATCAGCAAGATGGAATCTGTCACTAGGAAGAGATAATGTAATTATAGAAGAAAGAGTTTCATTTACATAATTAGGCAGGTGTGGAACTTTATAATAACCTAGCTGCATATAGAATAGTCTTGGCCCTAAGGACTGCTTTAATGTTGATTGTCATTATTCAAACCAGCACCTGTCAAGATATTTTTCAAAAGGGGAAAATGTTGGGAGCAAATAGACACAAAAATAGGATATAAGCTATGAGAAGACAGTTGGTTATTGAACTACAGCCTTGTCTGCATTTCTAATTTACTTATTCTTTTATTTTTAATAATTTTATTACTTCTTTGCTATGTTCTTCATAATTTTCTCAATATTGTCTTCATATTAGTCACCTTGTTTTGACTTTTAATTCCTATATTCTGTTTATTGATACCAATGGGACGCAGCAAAATGATTTCAATTTCAACATTATCTAAATTTTTCTGAGGTTTATCTGAATGAGCTGTTTTTGAGGAAACCCTGGGATCATATACTTTTTAAATGTATGAAATTTGCAACAACTAATCTATTTTTTCCTGGATGAAGCTAAATTGCCTGTGTTTGTTTGATATATCATCAAAACTCAGAAATGATATTTAGAAAAATATTAAAGTCACATAAATATATTCTGGAATTTTTTGATTGATCTGTTTAGAGGTTTTTTTAATTCTACTTTTGTGGTTAAGAAGTATCTGGCCAGGATTCTTAGGACAGATCATGTAGCAGCTGAAATCAAAATATTGCTGCACAAGCAACCCTGAAGAGCATGCTATTTGCAAAGCAAATTTAAAACCACACACTTGGTTGAATCAGATAATATTAAGGCTCAGATGTCAAATATCAGCAAGGATAAGTTTGGTCCTTAAAGCTAATTAAGGAGTTGTACAAATTGCACATAGATGTATTACTCAGCATATCCTGCATTATTCAATAGTTGCAGAACATTATTCATCTCAATTACTGACCTCCAATTCAGGGGTGAACACAAGAGATCTCTTTGATCTCAAGGATTGAAGCCATGAGTTATTTACTCTTAAGCTGAAAGTTTCTATACTTTAGTTTTTCTAATGGGTTAAGAGTTAGTAAACCATGTGGGACCCTGGATAGCTAGAGATTCAAAGCATGGATCTGTCTACCAAAAGGTAGAAACATTTCCGACAAAATTTATAAGATCTTTTCCCCCCTTTTGGGTCAGAGATGGCTTTTGTGACCAATCCCCCTATGTGACATCATGACTTCTTACCTCCACAGTGGTCACCTCTCATAAAGCTGATGTCCCACCACAGAAGTCATACAAGTAGCACAGTACTCAGGGGAAACTTGCCCTTTGTTCCACAAACCACATGATTCTTGTTCTGACTGCTGAGATCCCCAGTCTTCTGAAGTGAAATGTATATTTCCCTCATTTTCTGGTTAAAGCTATTTGTAGTTCTATATCACCATTCCACCAAGGTCTGTATTCATTAGTTTTGCTTGTAAAACTTGTAGAATTTACTTTCAGTATACTTTGCAACTTACAGTCAATATTTCCATCAGGTTGGATTGACTTTCTGATCCTTTAGAAATGTTTAAATATCTTCAGTCTATTGATTTGCCCTTGGTAATCACTCTGTTTAGAAAGTCTTCCTTTCTATTTCTTATCACTGTTCAGTTATCCAGCATTTAAACCCCTTTCTAAGGTTACTAACTTCAGATTAACTTTATGCCCACAAACTTCATAATATTACTTTATTTGTTTCATGATAATGTATGATTATTTGATTTTTATCACCCAATTTCAGTCAAATACTTCTTTTAGATATTTTTCTTTTTCATTTTGAAATTATCTTCAATTTTGAGTCAAATGCTTGGCAAAAAGTAGATTCAGAATAATTCTTTGATGAATAAGAAACACACTAATAGTTTCAGTCTTTTGGAGACAGACTTTACAACAGATTTTGACATACTGAGAGAAAAATGTTTATTATATGAGACCATTTTTGCCTTTGTAATTTGAAAGCTCAGGAAGAATCTACATTTTTTTCTTTAAAAAAAATGAGGAGCATAACATCTGTTGTAAATTGGTTGGACTTCTTTTCTGTCCTAGTAATTTTTGTTGTTAGAAACAAGAGTTCAGTGCCGCCGGGATTGCTGGCAGAGGAGGTTGTGTAGCCGCTTCCGTGCTACTCGCGCTGTGAGCATTACAAGCTAGAGCCGAGTACGCGGGCCGGCCATCATGTCACGTTACGGGCGGTATGGAGGAGAAACCAAGGTATATGTTGGTAACCTGGGAACTGGTGCTGGCAAAGGAGAGTTAGAAAGGGCATTCAGTTACTATGGGCCCTTAAGAACTGTATGGATTGCCAGAAATCCTCCAGGATTTGCCTTTGTGGAATTTGAAGACCCTAGAGATGCAGAGGATGCCGTTCGAGGATTGGATGGAAAAGTGATTTGTGGTTCTCGAGTGAGGGTTGAACTATCAACAGGCATGCCTCGGAGATCTCGTTTTGATAGGCCACCTGCCCGTCGTCCCTTTGATCCTAATGATAGATGCTATGAGTGTGGTGAAAAGGGACATTATGCTTATGACTGTCATCGCTATAGCCGACGAAGAAGAAGCAGGTCACGATCTAGATCACATTCCCGATCCAGGGGAAGGCGATATTCTCGATCACGCAGCAGGAGCCGTGGAAGGAGGTCAAGATCAGCATCTCCTCGACGATCAAGGTCTGTGTCTCTTCGTAGATCAAGATCAGCTTCACTCAGAAGATCTAGGTCTGGTTCTATAATAGGATCGAGATCCCGCTCAAGGTCGAGATCAAGGTCCAGGTCTATTTCACGACCAAGAAGCAGCCGATCAAAATCCAGATCTCCATCTCCTAAAAGAAGTCGTTCCCCGTCAGGAAGTCCACACAGAAGTGCAAGTCCAGAAAGAATGGACTGAAGTTCTCAAGTTCACCCATTAGGGAAAAGTTATTTTGTTTACATTATTATAAGGGATTTGTTATGTCTGTAAAGTGTAACCTAGGAAGGATCATCAACCATCTAATCAAAATGAATCTGGGTTATATTACTCTGTAAAATTCACAGCAGTAAATATTGTTTTTGTTGAATGTATTAACATCTTATGGTCTGAAAATGTGGGTTTTTATTTGACACGTTTAAATAAAATGTTTCTAACTAAAAAAAAAAAAAAAAGAAACAAGAGTTCATTCCACAACTACTTGACTGAAGAGCTAGGCACTGTACCAATAATTGTAGCACCATACAGTCTTCATTAAATGAAACATATACACAAAAAGCATAATGAAGATATATACATTATATTATATTACATGTTAAAATGAGTCATAGGAATTTGACCAGGTATTCTATTAAGTCTTTTACGAGACAAGATATTTAAGACTAAATCTAAATCCAGTGAATAAGTTGTGTGTGTGTGTGTAAACATGGAACAAACAAAATAAGCCGAGAATCTATGTCTGGAAGGGAAGTGCCTGGGAAGATCAGACAAAGCACTTGCTGTAATTCTACTTTGCTTTCTGTTGCTTAATAAACACTAAAGTCCAAGCAACTCTGGAATGAAAAGGTTTATTTCTTCTTACACATCCAGGAAACATTTCATCACTGAAGGAAGTCAAAGCTCAAGGCAAGATCTAAAGCAAAGACTATAGAGGAATGCTACTTACTGGCTTGCTTTCTATCCTTGCTCAGCTTGTTTTCTTAGAAAACCCAGAACCATCTGTCCAGACACTCATAGTTACCCTCCAGGTGACTCTAGTTTGTGTCAAATTAAAATCTGACAAGGAGACATGACCAGTGTGGATTTTATTCATAGAACACACATATAAAATAGACGTGTTGTAATGCATCTTTTATCCTAGCGTTCCTATGATGAGATAGGAGGCAGAGATGGGAGAATGATCAAGAAGCCTGTGGGCAAGCTAGAGTAAAGGAATATAAGAGATCCTGTCTCAAAGAACTCAAGGTTATACCTAACACCCAAAAGAATTTCTTTAACCTCCACATGCTTACTTCGATGTATGTATGAATGTATGTATGCATGTATGTATGTATGTATGTATGTTTGTATAAATATGAATATATATTCAAATAAACTACAAATTAAATACAAAGGAAAGAGAAAATAGGAAAGAGAGAGTGTCATATATGTGCAGTAATAGATAACCTTGAAGGCTGTGTAAAAGAATTTTTTTTTCTGGCTAGTCTAGTGCTATGAATCTAAAGTATAGAAAACAAATTTGGAGACAAACTTTAAACTTCTCAACTTCTGAATGCCTATTTTTCATAACTTTTAACATCTACGAACTCCCTTAGAAGGGTAAAACTCATAAAACTTCTATTTTAGGTGTTCTAATCTTGAAATTCCAGTAGAAAGACATAAAGTGGGTTTTGAACATATTTCTTCTTTTGTCTCTGTTTCAAAGCAAGAACTTTACGGTCAGACATGAGTGACTATTTAGTTACACAAAGGTTTGAACTGTTTTAATGTTCACCTCAGTATCTTGAGATGCAGCACAATAGTTTTCCATATACTAATAACTACTACTCCCTTTCCATGTCCTACACCAGGCATCTCACCATGCTACTATACAAAGATTTTTCTCAGCAGATCAGTGTTGCATTTCACAAATTTTTATTTCTCTTATAAATATCAGGAGCTCAAGAGTTTTCTGACTTAGTCAGTTGGTCAGCAGAGATTACCATAATCTAATACGGCCTGACACAAAGCCTAGGTTACCAGGTTACACCAGTGCTTTAGAGGACCCTCCATAAGAGCATTTCTATTTTAATAGGATTCATTCTTGGAACTCAAGTAGTTAAGCTGTTTCTGTGTGTTTTTGTGAACCTGAATAAAATATAGATGCACTCTTAATTAATATTTAATATAAATGCACAGGGCAGAATAGGTGGTTACTGCCAGTACCTGTGTATTGCCAAGGTAATTTAATTCTACTTGGTCTTATGTGCTATCGTACCTTGCAGTGAAAAAAGTATCCTGCTGTTACTGGAAGCCACTACTGGAGAGAAAGTGAGGTAATTTTTGAGTAACAATGAAACTATTGCTTTAGGTCTATATTTGGCAGTGCTTATTCAACATTTTTCACTTTGCCTGATGCCTCTATTTTATTCATTTAATGTTTTCAGCTTGCCAACTCACAGCTACTCACTTTGGTGCTTTGGAAACTGTTTGGCATATATCTTTGGTGAAATAAGAGAATTTTTTTTCTTCAGTTGTTCCAATTTACTCAACCCAGTTTCTTATCTCTTCCTCTTACCACTATAAAGACAATAGATTAAAATAATTGGCTCCTAATCTAATGCATATTTCTCTTTGCTTTTGATATCTTGCAACATTCAATGATACAATACTCATTACAGGTTTTCATTTCAAGACACTTTAACCATTGTAGCTTGTTTTCCTTACCCAGGACTATGACTTTTATTTAGAAACAATCTAGACAAACCCTGACTTCTAAAGTTCAAGAAATGTCACGTACTTGAATGTTTAATGGAAGAATTATTTTATTTAAAGGGTAGTAGAGATTCTTGTTTTCCTGTAGTTAGAAATAACATAGCTGAGGAGGCAGAGGTAAGTGAATTTCTGTGAATTTGCGTCCAGTTTTGTCTACATAGTGAATTCCAGGCTAGCTAGGTCTACAAAATATACATAATGAGAGCCTGTCTTTAAAACAAACATGAACAATGAATTCGAGAGGTTCCTAGGTAAATGGATGGAACTAGAAATTATCATCCTGAGTGAAGTAACCCAATCACAAAAGAACACACATGGTATTCACTCACTGATTATTGGATATTAGCCCAGAACCTTGAAATGCCCAAGATGCAACTCACAGGCCACATGAAGCTCATAAAAAAGGAAGACCAAGTGGTGGTGATTCAATTCTTCAGTTCTTCTTAGAAGGAGCAACAAAATACTCAAGGGAGCAAATATGGAGACAAAGTGAGGGACAGAAACTGAAGGAGGGGCCATTTGAAGACCTTTCCACCTGAGTATCCATCCCATGTGCAGTCACCAAAGGTAGATGCTGATGTGGAAGTCAGGAAGTGCATGCCGATAAGGGCCTGATATGGATGTCTCCTCAGAGGCCTTCAAGAGTCTGACATATTCAGAGGCAGATGCTCACAACTAGCCATTGAACTGATCATGAGGTTCTCAATGGAGGAGTTAGAGTGAGGACTGAAGGAGCTGAAAGGGTTTGTGGCACCATGAGGAGAGCAACAATTCCAACCAACCACAGCTCCCAGGGTCCTAACCACCAGCCTGGGAGCACTTATGGAGGGATCCAGGGCTTCAGCTGAATATGTAAGAGTGGAGGGCCCTGCCGGGCACAGGTGGAAGAAGAGATCCTTGACCTCATGAAGGCTGGACGCCCCAGGGGGTGGGAATTTTGAGGGTGGGGAAGTGGGAGGGGGGGTAGGTGGGGGTCACATCCACAGAGAAGAAGGAGGAGGGGTAAGGGGATGGGGGGTTCCCGGGTGGGTGGGGGATGGGGTAAGGGGATAACATATGAAATGTAAATAAAATATCCAATAAAAAAAATAAATAAAATGATAAAAGAAAAAAATAAAACATGATATATATATACAGATACACACAAATAACATCTATATAGCAAGAAAGATATTTCTAGTCCTTTTGGGATGTGTAAGTGTGTTCACTCAGTTTTAAAAATGAGTAACTCTTAATTTTCTAAACTGGATTTACATTTAGTGGTGAGATATTTGTAACCATGCATGTAATCTCTGGTACAGGAAATTAAATCTGCTCAATCCTTTGTGCCTTTGGGTTATAGGAAAGTAGGAGAATAGTTTGATATGTTTTATAGATCAGTAATGAAATATTCAAAAAGGGAAAAGGTTTGGTCTTTCTAATTTTTGAACACGGAATTTGTGATTATAGTCTTGGTGCTTAGTATAAAGTCTAGGGTTTGGCACACAAGTAGAAGTACAAGGAAAAATAATGTTTAGTTCCTTTGAATTCTGGGACAGAAAACAATGATCAAAAAGTGCTTTAAAAATGTAATTGCATAGTAGAAGATAACCTTGAATGATATTCTTGAGTCGAGGTTGCAACAAATCAATTAATTCAAGATCATGCTGGCAACCCTGCCAGGTGTCATTAGTGTTGCCAGCTATAAGCTGCCACTGAGGACCTGCCTGTGCTTACTTCCTGCAAGTCCTAGCTTGAGTATGTGGAATGGAGCTGGCCCCGACTGCACATTACAGCACAAGCAATTATTCATCAAAACTTGCCTCGCTGCAAGCAATTCATTCCTCTCTCAACAGATGTCTAGGACTCTGACCCAAAGCAGCATGAATGTGGACTAAAAATAGCTCCCAATGCAGCAGGCAGCCCTGGAGAACTTTGTATTTAAGTGGTTTTTATTCCCATGGTAGCAGAGCATTTTGCTCACCAGATTGACCCTGGAAGAAGAGGGGGAAGGTAAAGATTTTTTAAAATCTTCTTTCAAGTCTCCATTCGTTGAAATATAAAACACATTTCTTCATGGAAATAAATTTTGCTCTACCTAGTAAAAAAATGAGGACAAACCCAATCCCCTTCAAAACCTCATCCTGTCTCCTCTTTGTTTTGTGCATCGTTTGATGCTTCTTCTTTCTTTCTTTTTTTTCCTTCTGTAGCTGCAGGGGAGATTGGCCATGTCAGTTGTATCACTACCAAAGTGATCATGTTATACATAGTGTAACACTACTCTTTTTATCACACATGCTCATGAGAATATATTCATTAATATATTTTATGTGTATATGTATGCTAGACACTGTAGAGGATATAACCTGTGTGTCCTCATCACATCAGTGGCATGGAACAGATAATAGATCATCACATGACTCCAATTCAGTGCTGCTGGAATTTGAGCATATCTGGTGTAGCAAGGCTCAGTGAGTGACATCCTGAAGTGAGAATCACATCATGCAAGTAAATCATCTTAAAAACAGCCAAGTTAGTCTTGTTTATCCAGGGCATGGATCAGACTGTATTGGTTGAGAATCATTTTGTAATTACTCCAATGCTCCTGGGTTTTCTCATGCTAATATAATTGCTAAATAGCCTCAAGTTCCTAAGAACCATAGGGAGATAAAGTTCAACTGTGGTCTCCCAAACAGAGAATGATGGATGTATTC